AAAAAGAAAACTATTTACATTCTGGGGTGCTTGCTTTCTTAGGTAGATTTTTTTAGATGTCTATATAGTGATTGATGATCATTATGATCTATCGTATATGTTATAGAAGTTTTTGTTTAGCTGCTGGATTTCTTTTACACAAATTTGAATGATTTTCGTGTATGAAAGTATAGAGTTTCTTTGTCTATACAAAACTTGGAAATCCCGAAATATTTTTCATCGTGGAAGCGGATTTCGTCTCATTTTGCAAACTAATTACTTCTGAATTCTGATAGATTTTTGCCACTTGTTTTGAAGTTACTTCTCTTAAACCCTATAAGGAAAGACCAAAAGGCAGACTTTTGTATCTTTTTGTAAACCATTTAATGGTTTTTATCTAATATGCCCACTTAGACACAGGTATTAAAAGCGAGTAAACTCTGGTCCTCACCAATTTAATGCCTCATCAGGATGATAGGTTTCACCAGGAATTTGTAGGTCCATGTGACATAATTTTATTGCACTTATTATGTGATACATTTACTGATTTAGAATTTAAAGAATTCGGCCGAGAATTAGACTGCTATATTTTGGCGTGATTATTCAATCTTTTTAATGTCGAAGTAGCACTTTTTTCTCATTTACTTTCTGGAATCCTTTTTGCAGGTCCGAGACTTGCATACTCTGTTGGTGCCAATTTTACTCCCCATGTGATCACTGTCAATGCTGGAGAGGTATGCTTCAGCTATTTGTAAACCAAATCTTTTCTGCTTTTCAATTGGTGCTATACGATAATTCACTTAGATTAGGTTTCAGTCTCTCTTTTTATTATGGAATTAGCCGTGAGAAGTATATAGAAACCAACTATTTAGTGCAAGCCAAGGAGTTGGAAAAGGCTCTCCAATTACTTGCATAAAAAAATGGAATTCGAATACAATCCTTTGTACAGAAATTTCTTGCACCCAAGACCAAGCTGATTACTGCATTTTCTATCCCCTTTTTTATTGTATTAGGACATTACGATGAAGGTCATGTCTTTCTCTCAGCAAGAATCCCGAGCTATTTGTATTCTTTCTGCAAATGGCACGATTTCAAATGTTACACTTCGACAGGCAACTTCTTCTGGAGGTACCTTAACGTATGAGGTATGACCATGTCTTGTGAAGATATTTATGTATACCTGAACATTTCGCCTGTAAGATTACTGGTCTTGGGTTTTTGTTTTAAGTTTTTATCGGCCATTTAAGCTCTAATGTAGGCCGGATGTTTTTGGACATGATTACTGTGTCCTGTACACGAGTCTTTTATTTGTTCAGGTTACGTCTACATGAATACTGAACGCCACGAAATTCCGTCGTCGTTTTTTCCCTTGTTCTATCAGCATTTTCAGGAAAGATTTACTGTTGACATGAATAGGAGGCAGTTACAAGCAGATCTCTCTTTTATTATATGCTAATGTTGTTAGTTCTCTTGCCTGAGTGGTGATGTTGAATATCTCGTTATCTTCATACAATCCAAATTGATTTGCCTTCATAAACGTAACATTTAAACGACTTCACCCTTTTTTACTAATCTGGCTTTTGTACTTGTTTTGGCAGGGTCGTTTTGAAATACTCTCATTGACTGGATCGTTTATGCCGACACAGAATGGAGGTACGAAGAGCAGATGTGGTGGGATGAGTGTCTCGCTGGCAGGTCAAGATGGTCGAGTTGTGGGCGGAGGACTAGCTGGTTTGTTGGTAGCAGCTGGTCCTGTGCAAGTAGGACAAATCTCTCTCTCTCTCTCTCTCTCTCTCTCTCTCTCTCTCTCTCTCTCTCTTTCAGCTTGTTTTTACAGATCATTGGATTTTGGTTGTAACGGTTGATTGTGTTCTGATAATTCCCTGATGAATGATATAAATCCTGGACCGTTTTACCAGGTTGTGGTTGGTAGTTTCCTTCCGGGTCACCAGCAAGAACAGAAGCCAAAGAAGCCGAGGAACGAATCCACAACCATTTTCTTTCCTCCCATCAACACCATCACTGGTGAAGAGACGAAGGCGATGTACGGCGGTGGTGTCAAGCCCGTTCTCACGACACCGTCCTACCAAGAACATAACTCACTGTCACCAAACCCAGTCACAGGCTTCAAATTATCCTCCACTGACAACTTACCTTTGCCTGACAAAGAACCCAAAACACAAAGTCAATCGAACTGTGAGGTTTCTTTCGCTTCAAAGTAGTTTTCGTCATTCTTCTCCGTAGATTTCGTAGTGCCTAACTCAACTCGACCCATTTCGACACCGATTTAAGCCCTCTCTGGCTGGTGATCAACAAATTATTTGGGTCCTCACGTAATCTTGTGCTCTTTTCCATTAGGTAATAGGTGCCATGGAGTCCATTAGGCTTCTTTCTGATTCTTGCTATCAAGTGTCCTTTTACAGGCTCAAATGAATGAATTTCCATGGTTGCTACTGGCTAGTTAATAGGGTGAGCAAGATAATAGAGTCATCAAAACAGGTAACATGAGTGAGAGCCCCGACCATAGCAGCTTTAGAAAATTCACTCTCAACTTTGGTAGTAACAAAAAAACTTCTAGATTTGTAAAAGACTTGAGAAACATTGTTTTCCACTTTCATTCCATGTGCTTTCTGTATTAGAATTGTCGTATTGATTGAGATCATTTGAAGATCAACTTCAGTAGCACTTTTGAAGGTACATCAAACTAGGGATTACTTATAAAGGAAAATTTTCTCTATATTTTTACAGTTTTAAGAAATTATAGATAACACAAATCAAATTTATTCTCGCTTAATGGTGGATAAATTTTATCAAATAACAAAATTATTTTTTCTTGATAACTTCAATTTCAAATATTATCTAATAAAGTAAATGTTTAAATATTATTTTCATCTATGAACTTCTCTATGTATTTTATTTTGATATTTGAAAATCTTTTGAATTTTATCTTAGCATTTCAAAGTTTCCTATCGACATTGGTCGTCACGTGAATCTGTGGTGGTTTCAAATTTTCCTGTAAATGGTTTATAAAATTTAATGATAATGACTAAAATAAAATAACTTTTTTCTTTATCAAATATTTTAAATTTGAGAGGTTGAATAATGTAAAACATCCATTAGATGATCGATGCGTTCCAATCTTCCTCTGTAAGTAAGGCACGTGCCAAAAGCTTCAGTTCGGAAAAGAAATCTCGGCCGTCCACATCATCCCTACGTTTACCTAATCAACGGTAATGATATGCTTTACGGCCGCATTTGTCGCCACGCACGACTCTAGTCTATTTGTATCCTCTCATTGCGCGCCATTGTCGTAATTTTCTCGGGAAAATCTTGGAGAAAGAAACGCGAAACGAAAGAGAAAATTAGAACTCAAAATGGCCACAATCAAGATCGTCAAAGCCCGTCAAATATTCGATAGTCGTGGAAATCCTACTGTCGAAGTGAGTTTTTTCTGCCACTACAGCTATCCTATTCGTCGAAAATGTCTCACTGGAATCGTTTTTAGTTTGACGTTGGTTATTTTGTGTTTGTTTTCTGAGAAATGTGGGAGTATATAGACAGTGAACATATTGCGGTTATCGAATAGTTTAACTGGCCGTTTACGTATAGATTCCTTGGCGTAAGTGTCTTACAGTGGGATCGCGATTGCAAATTCTTGTTTGGTTTTTCTTTGTTTTATTGATGAAAATTTGGTTTCAGGTTGATATAACTCTGACCGATGGAACACTGGCCAGGGCTGCTGTTCCGAGCGGTGCATCAACCGGTAAATCAATAGTGTTTGGTTATCTACTTGAATGAATGTAATAATTCATGGTTCATTATTTCTTCATGTAAATGACGAATGCACGGTAGGTGAAGTTTGGAAGCGTGGAGCGCTGATGATGTTTCCATACGATCTTCAACCTCCCCGTTTTATATCTTTTGGGAGTTTCTTAGGTGTTATCTACATGTAATTCTGTAATAAAAATAGAGGCTAGGAAACTTAGTAAATTGTATTGTACTTATCATATGCAGAACTTTCGAGAGGGCAACCATTAAATTTTTCTCGGAATTCTTTGAAACGTCTTCTAACTTCTGAATAAGTATGCTTACAAAAATACGTTAATCAAAGTGGCAAGCTGTAAATATAGACATCTTTGAGGTTGTGAGTTCAACTTCAAACAATGGTAACCATATACCAATAATACAAGTTTCCCCACAAAGAATATTGCAGAGTCAAAAGTGGTCCAATGAGATTATTTGGAAATTTGGTCATCGCATTCAAGGTGATTAAACAATAAAAAGTGGTAGAAGGAAAAGGTGAATTATGAAAACAGGGTATCATTTCACATCTGCACGTACGTACTATATATATCCAGGCATGTATAATTTATACACTTCATGATTGTCCCATGTACCCATTTATATAGTTGTACGACTATCCTGTGCAAAAAAGGTGTAAATAGTACGTTTATATTTTATATTTTTTAACCATATTTTGTCCACTGAAGGTATCTATGAAGCTCTTGAGCTGAGAGATGGTGGTTCTGACTACCTTGGAAAGGGTGTACTTAAGGTGTGTATGCTTTTTTTGCTGCCCCTTGAATATCTTCTAGGCATGTTTATTAAACTTTGGAGCATCGGATATTTTAGGAAAGTTTTTCTACTATAGTAGTGTGTGTTTGTGTTCTTTTTTCTGAAGTTAACTTATATGATTGCATGACTTGAAATCTGTGATTTAGGCTGTGGACAATGTAAACTCAATCATTGGACCTGCTTTAATTGGCAAGGTAAAATCCTTGATTTAATTACTGTCTTTTTCTACTGTCAGTGAATATGAGTGAAGTTTTTATGCTTATAGTTCATTCAATCTTTCATGGCGTTTCATAGGACCCAAGAGAGCAGACAGAACTGGACAATTTTATGGTACAGAAACTTGATGGGACCGTTAATGAATGGGGTTGGTGCAAACAAAAGGTATGTTGAAATTTTTTTCTCCCACCTAGAATTTATTCTTATGAAGGTAGATCTATCCACGGTTATACTAACTTATTATAACGGGGGAGTTTCCCTCTTTATTTTTGTAGCTTGGAGCAAATGCTATACTGGCAGTGTCACTTGCTATTTGTAAAGCAGGTGCTGCAGTGAACAAGATCCCCCTCTATAAGGTATTTGTAGTCTTACGTGGTTTTTGGAGAGGGTATTATTCATTTGAATTTGTACTATCTTATATTGTCACATGTCTTTCTTGTAACTTCTAGCACATTGCCAAGCTTGCTGGGAATAAGAAGTTGGTTCTGCCAGTGCCTGCATTCAATGTCATTAATGGAGGTTCCCATGCAGGCAATAAACTAGCCATGCAGGTAATATGATTTTCATATATTTTTCCTTTTTGATTCATTAGGTGCTTTACTTTGGAAGTTTATGTTATTTTCCTGGCATGTAGGAATTTATGATTCTCCCTGTTGGAGCATCTTCTTTCAAGGAAGCCATGAAAATGGGTGTGGAAGTCTACCATCACCTCAAGGTTGTTTGGAATCCCCCCGCCCCTGTCTTCTAAATTTAGTAATACAAGGCGGTTGTTGCTTCAACATATTTCTGTCCTTTTGCTTTTCAGGCTGTAATTAAAAAGAAGTATGGACAAGATGCTACTAATGTTGGTGATGAAGGTGGTTTTGCCCCTAATATTCAGGTCTTGGAAACACTTAGCCTACTTGTTAATTTTGAATTTGGAGTTGTCAATGAGTATGCGGCTGTTGATGTTTTTCTCTTCCTTTAGTCCTTTCCTCTTTTCCTTTATGGTCGGAGGGAAAGGTTCGTGTTTGGATGAGATTGCAGATTCTATGTCAGATAGTTTTCTTCTCCACTATTCCTGCTCACTTATGTTCTTCTTTCATTATACTCGCTACAAAGTGGTTATTATAGTTTGAAATAAATTTCAGGAAAACAAGGAGGGCCTTGAACTCTTGAAGATAGCTATAGCGAAAGCAGGATACACTGGAAAGGTGCTCTCCTTTTGTTTTGTTTGTCTTTTTTTCATTTTATTTTTCTTTTGCCTTACTGAATGTTGTCTTATTTATACATACATACATATATATTATATACATACGTACATATATATTACATATATATATATATATATATATATATATATATATATTTTCAATGCTAAACAGGACCGAGTCTATTGTCTTGATATATTCTTTTATCACTTCTAGGTTGTCATAGGGATGGATGTTGCTGCTTCAGAATTTTATGATAGCAAGGACAAGACCTATGACCTGAATTTTAAGGAAGAGGTATTTGACTCTTGGCTACTCTTGATTGATGTGTTTTTTGGTTACATATTGGCCTGATGAAAAATTTTGCTGCAGCACAATGACGGATCAGAAAAAATTTCTGGAGACAGCTTGAAGAATGTTTACAAGTCATTTGTGACAGATTATCCTGTTGTGTCTATTGAAGATCCATTTGATCAGGATGACTGGGAGCATTATGCGAAGCTGACTAGTGAAATTGGTCAGCAAGTTCAGATAGTCGGAGACGATCTCTTGGTCACCAACCCAAAGGTCTTAGTGTTTTAATCATCATGTACAGTATATTTATATTTTTTGAAGCAGCCTTCTGACATTATTATCATGTTGTGACAATTGCAGCGTGTAGATAAAGCCATCAAGGAGAAGACGTGTAATTCCCTTCTCTTGAAGGTAATCACTCCACCTTTTTTTCCTCTTCTTATTTGTTAAACTTTCTTTTTGAAGCTATCTATTTGTTAATTATTACCATGTCTTAGCCCTCAAGTAATTTGCAGTAGATTTATTATATTTTAATTTCTTATGAGTCCTTTTTTTTCTTTATAAGGTAAATCAAATTGGTTCTGTGACTGAAAGTATTGAAGCTGTCAAGATGTCTAAGCACGCTGGTTGGGGTGTTATGGCAAGCCATAGAAGGTACGCCACTCTTCATTTTCATAGCCATCTGCCCTTCTTTCCTTTTCTGTAACTGCATGGAATAATCTCTTCCCCCCGGACTTCCATGTATTACTGATTAATATTTTTTCTCTTTTTTGGGCAATTTTAGTGGGGAAACTGAGGATACCTTCATTGCAGACCTTTCAGTTGGTTTGGCGACAGTAAGTGTTAACAATCCCCCCATTTGTGGAAGATGCAATATTTCCTATTAACTTGTTATAAGAATTAATATTGATATATATGTGTGCCTCGTATTGCTTTTGTTATGTGAACAATGAACTTTTTTTTTTTAACTTGGGGATTCGAACCTCAACTTTTTAGTCGATGATATATGTCTGAACTAGTTGAGCTAGACTTGAGTTTGTTATTTATAAGGTTGCTTTTAGAATTTAATCCAACATGTAGGCCTGCTACCTTGGTAAACTAGAAAGTAGCTACTTGATCTTTTATGGTTTTACCTTTCTCCAATTAGTAGTATCACAATACATTCAAATAAGATTTCTTTGTTTCCAAAAATAGTAATCAATTGTAGTAATATTTATTAAAAAGAAATTGTAAGTCCATGTTTGTGTGTATATTGAGTTTTTTAGATTGTCTTCAACTCTTAGACCATCATTTGACGAATTATTTCCGCAATTTGTGAAACAGGGTCAGATCAAGACTGGTGCACCTTGCAGATCTGAGCGCCTAGCCAAATATAACCAAGTGAGTACTATATGTTAAAGCTTTTGCCTCTTGCTAATGAAGTTTAGCCTGATAGTAGGCAAGACCATTTGAATTTTTTAATCATCATCAGTAGAATAACACGAGCTGCAACTGAAAATGATTTTTATGATATCTGAACATCCATTGCCCCTTTATTTTTTTTCATCTTCCGTGATCTTAGTTTTTCCAACATCCATGCAATCAAATTTGGCTGCTTGCAACACACTCACCTGATTTATTTTTACCCTTGCAGCTCCTTAGGATAGAAGAAGAGCTGGGACCAGCTGCAATTTATGCTGGATCAAAATTCAGATCACCAGTGGAGCCTTACTGAGGTTTAAATCATGAGAAAGCAGCATATGATAGGAGCTTTTACTGGTAGTAGGGAGTGATGTGATTGCGCTTTAAGCTCTTATTATCTCGGACTAGAGCTAATCTCAATCATCACCTTTTACTCCAAATGCAAATAAGCTTGATCTTTTAGCTGCTTATTTATTTTTTCCTCCATTGTTGGAAGAAAATCTTCTATTTTGGACTGGAGGTGTAGCAAAATAGTTCTAGAATATTGAACTTTCTGGGGTGGGCAGAAAATCAAAAAAATCAAGAAATTGAGTTCGACTCTAGCCAAACCGAACTGAACTAGTTTGGTCCAGTTTTCTAAAGTGGGCAAAAACTAAACTAGCTCTCCCTATGTGTGATTGTTCTTAGGACCATTTCTTTGCAGGAATTTGATGCTCGATGGCTATGGATGTTTGGAAATTCAGGTGCTTTAAATTTGGACAGCCAACGTTTATTGATAGTTGTAGGATTTGTGTAGTGTGTTTTGGCACGGCAATCCAATAATAACTTTATATTATAGCTAGCTTAATCGACTTCATGTGCTAAGTTTGTATAAATAATTCACTTCTTTTTGTGCCATTTTCAAAAAAATAAAAATATTCACTTCTTTTTGTGCCAATTTGTTATTTGATATTTAAATGTGAGTCTTAATCTAAAGAATTATTACATTCATCATGTACAAAGTTTAATGAATATAGTAATCTAACTTGGGTCTACGTATGTTGATCTGTCTTAGATTTTAAATTAAAGCAAGCAAACTTATGTAGTTAGAAATCCCAATTCAATATCAAGATGACTTTCTAAAAAATTAGTAAAAATTAATGCCCCGAAAGTCGATTGAAATTGAATAAAAAATCAAAAAAATTGAACCAATTGGTTTAATTTTAAAATTGAATTGAATCAAGTTGAGACTAACAAAACGAGAGAACCAATTTAAATAAGTTATGATAAAACAAATTGACATTTTAAATAAGTTATGATAAGACAAATTTATAATTTGATACCATAATTTTAAATGTATTTAATAAGCCTCTAATTTATTAGTTCGTATTTTAGAGGTTATTGACCACCTAATCAACCTTTTATTAAATTCACCACCTTAATAGACACAAAATTAAAAATTAAAAATTGAAGATATTGTTAGATAAAAAGTTCAACTTCAAGTCCAATAGACAGGTTAATTCTAAAAAAGATCAAATATATTAAAAAATTATTAGACACATAGAATCAAATATATTAAAAAATTATTAGACAAATTAAAAATTGAAAGATATATTAGACACAAAATTAAGAGTTTAAAATTCTATTAAAAGCAACTCTATTAAAAACAAATTTAAAAGTTTATGATCAAAACTCATAATTTAACCAACTAGATATATGTAAGTTGAAAAAGTTCCCCTCGTTGATCCAAAATCACGTTTTGGTGATATTAGATAAAATACAAAATTGGGATCAACAGAAGTGATGAATAGAAACAAAATTTTCAATCAGAAGACCGTCTTAATATTATAGAAGCAGAAGCAGTCGAATTCAGCGAACGCCAACCAATTCAACATCAAAAGTAAGCCACGAATTCGGCGGAATCTTCCCACCCGCACCTGCAGCTCCATAACTGCATCCAACATCTTCAATCTTTTCAGAAACAAAAAAGAAAAAAAAAAGTGTGATTTCATGCCAAAATTATAGGTGAATATTAGATTACGTACCCCATTGATGGAGGAATTGTCAATCTTCTTTTATCCCCAATTCGCATACCTGAGGAATGAGGAGGATTCAACCAAAATCAAAGTTTGGAACTTGAAAAGAGTTATAAACACAAAAACCAGAGTTTAGGGCATCCAAATGATTACCATTAACCCCGACATCCCATCCCTTTATAACCTGTCCCACACCTGTAACGTAACAACAACAATTAAGTTATGATTTGGACTTGCAATGTTTGAATGTTATCTGCCCCATAACCCAAAATTTTACCTAAACGGAATTTGAATGGTGCTCTTCCAACGTTACTGTCAAATATTTTGCCATTCTTTAGCTTGCCAATGTAGTGAACGCTAACCTGGGATCGGACCAATCATATTTGTTAGCTTCAGAAACATGGAAATAACCTCGTATTGCATCGAAACCCATGTTATTTATAGTATACGTCAAAAAAATAATTGGCCCATCTCAGATAAAAAGTAAATAATAGACTTTAAACGGTACCTGATTTCCTGGTGAAGCTCTTTTACCATCTGGTTTACCCATTGCCACCTCCTCAATGACCAACCCATTAGGGAAGGTTCTCACTCTAGATGATTTGGATTCATTTTCCTTCTCTTTTGATCCCAAAGTTGATTTGCTCTCGTCTCCTGTTTTAGTTAGCTCATTGGATTTTGATCCAACTTCAGTCTCCTTGCTCTTCTTCGCTTTCTTCTTTTTCTTCTTTTGCTTCTCTTCCATATGATTTTCACCATCCACAATGTCCATGTGAGTGGGGACATCCCTATTCGCATAGCCAGCAGAAGTTTCAGTTAACAATGAGAGGAACGCTAAAAAATAACAGTAAGACCTGTAGCTTGAACTAATTGTGAAGTTTCAGCTTTATCCAAAATCATAACAGAAGTGTAAGTTCATAATGCAGAGAAGTGTGCTTAGAAAAATGAAGCAATAGAATTGTCACAACATGCCCTTTCTTCCCAACTCAAGAAAGGCACAGTTTCATCAGTCCCTCTTACATGGATCTTCTGGTTTACATCAAGACTCTACTGCAGTAGGCGCATCTAGAATCTAAATTCAAGTTTTTCCCAAGTCTCCTTTTCTCTCACTTACTTGCTCGGTCTCCTCAATCCCTTTTATTTGCTAAATTTTTGGAGGTTTTTGTGGTGATGAATTCAACTCACTTTGAAGCTCCACAGATGATTTTGGAACGTTGTTGATATTAGCCTGGCTCCTAAGAGGAGTCATTGTTCCATAATGGAGGAGGCAATGCTGCACCCGCCACCCACCTAGAAAGTTTTTTGGCAAGCCACTCTCTTAGCTGGTTGGGAAAGAATAGAAGGTTTTCAAGGGCATTGAAGGTTCCTAGGAAGAGGTCGGAGAAATGAAGTCTGGCCCATGTACTCTCTGGGTTGTCCAAAAGAAACATGTAATTAATCTTTGATTTTGATTCTTACCAATAGGAGCCTGTCTTTGAAAAGTTGCTTGTGGAGTTATCTTTTAAAATAGACCTAACTTCTGAAAGTTGGTTTTTTATCCTTCCAAAAAAGGGCATAGTATCACAATATTCACTACAGTTATAAAAAAATATAATAGATTAACAGACCCTACACAGAGATCCCAAGGCCTAGATCATGTGTGAATCTCATTTTGCAAGGAATAACATATTTTTAAAAGATCCAAATAAGCACCGAAACTTCCAAAATTGGTGGAAATCAGGAAAAAAAAAAACTAATACAGAAATCCGTAGTCTTCTTCACGTATAGTATCAAAATCAGTAGAATCAAATTGAAATATTAACCTCTGTTTAGATAGCTTTCTATCATTCCCATCTCCATGATAAATCTGATTAACGCCTTCACTCTTCACTTCTTCAGGTGGCTTTTCACTCCCCATATTGCCATCATTACCAGCTTCCGGAGCTTTTTCTCCTTTTACCTTTTTCTTCTGCTTCTTTTTCTTTTTCCTGACATCATTATCGCAGTTTCAACATAAGAAAATAAATTAAAAGATTACAGCCTTTCCAGATGGCTAAATGAATTTATGGAAAATATAATCAAAATTACTTGTTAAATAGCAACGTGGTTAAAAGTTCAGATATAAAAATACATTTATTGTCCTTACCCTATTCGAAACTTTAACAGTTTAACTACAGTAACCTGCTGATGGGTGGGAATTCTATCCCCACTTTTCCTTACTACACATAAAACTTTTGGCAATGATGGGGAATAATGCATTGGTGGGGAAAAAACCCATCCCAATCTTGCCCTGTTAACACCCTACAGCTTCCCTCAACAAGCCCAACCAAAGATATTAACTTGTACAACTGATTACTTAAATCATCTCACCTTTCTATATGATCAACTTGCTCGTCAGTTTCAACTTTTCTTTTTAAGCTAGAAGCATCATTGCCATCTTTTTCTTTTGCCTCCTTCACATTCCCAGTGCTTGGATCTTTTCGTTCCTGTTCTGATTCTAATTTCTGATTATTCAGTTTGCTCTTGCTTTTGGTAGGAATTGGAAATCCATCCTCATCGTCACTTTCTGAAACAGCATTTCCAACATTTCTTTTCAGCACAATTTGACGCTGCGAGTTCCTAACGTCTTCAGAGTCACTAGACTTATTTTTCTTCACTTGTTTCGCTTGACCACTGGCATCATTTGACTTTTCATCATCCACTATCTCCTCAATTACAACTAACAAGCAAATAGAGATAATGGGAAAGAAAATAAACACTCAGATTAAAAACTAAAATAGTTCAAGGTCAAAATTCTGAAGAGTTACAAAATGAAGGGATAAGTAAAAGCATTAAAGTTCAGCATGGATGCAACCATAAAGATATAGCAGCAACAATATAAAAAGAACCTAAGAAGAAAGTTGTATGAGTCCATACATTTTACTGTATTTAAGAAATGTGAAATCTAATACTTTGTAAATTATTTACTGTACCTTGTTTGCTCTAAGTGAAATCATACAGCACAGCTTGCATCCAACATATGTCCAAATAAATCTATTCCCCCACAGTAAAGTTTCAATTTTATGCAAACATAGCTAGCAAAAGCTGATAGAGCAGAAGTCAAAAAGTTTTTTTCTTTAAATAGTTAGAAGAAAACTTGGGAAAGATACAGCTACTATGTAAATTAAACTCGCCTATTTCGACATCTTGCTGCCCCTCTCATATATTTAATGATTCTCCCAATTCGTTAAGCAGCCAGTACCAAGGAAGACCATGAAATCCCAAACTTCAGAATGACCCATAAGACTAGCTAAACGATTGCACAGGTTTCCCCAAATTATCCAAGCAGAATTGCAGCGGATTTAAAGGTAGTCACTGTACAGTACTGATCCTTCACAGTTAACAAGACGCACAAGTTTGGGAATGATGATAAAGATCAGGCTGAATTTATTAAATTCTCTCGTGGGTATTAAAACTCTTTACACCAAGTGGAGAAATTAAAATTAATCTCCAGCGGTTCAGATTTCAAAACAAATTACTGCGTTGTCTTATGGTCCTTCACCCTTGTAACGGAAATATCTTCTTGAACAGTCTATTATCTTGAAACATATCAAACACCGAGTGAAACAACTTTACAACACTAAATGAACCACTGAGAAAACATGAAGGGGCAAAACGTGGATAGAATGCCAAGAAATTTGTATAAATAGAAACTTCACCAAATTTTCAAAATACCTCCACTTTTGGGAACTGGCGAAGTTGGATACAACTCAGGATAGTCGTCGTCATCGTCATCAATGAATTCATCGTCATATTCATCTCCAGTGTCATATTCAGATGAATCATCTGTATCTGTTTCTGCGATGTCCTCCCCAAAAGAATCACTTTGCATTGTAGTAAGGAAATAACAAAATACTCACGCCAAAAAAATTGACCACATATGTCCTCAATTTCTAAAAAAAAAATACTTCCACTCAAGGAATAAGAGATTTGTAACTGTGGCAAACGAAAAAAGTAAACCAAACACATTATAAAGAAGGATACGACTCATAGTCATCCCTAATGAAATTCCCCTCGTTGGCTACAAAATAACCAGAAAGATGGACGCTTTGAGGGCCAATAACTGAGAAGGCTACCAAATCATCTCCCTCAAATTCAAGATTTAAGGGGCATGATTCAATCTTATTTGGTATTAAAGAGCACAAAAAAATTGGACTCTTATGGCCAACGGTACACTGAACGATGCTTCTCTCTTTTGATGAGCCAGTACCCAAAGTTGCCTGGATGATTACAAAAATGACAAAAAAAAATTAGGTCATCTCAAAAAGTAGCAAAGTAACAAACAAACCATACATCTTCACATTATTAAGCAACGCAAATTAAAAGCCAATAAAAATCATTGGCTCGCAGCTTCACACCACAATATTTTTTCAAAACAAAGCATAGATTAACACCACAATATTACTATCAGATTAAAAAATCCCAAATCACAATGCAAAATGGAAGTGGCCTATCCCAAAATGACATGGGCTCAAACCAAAAACCCGTTGACTTGAAGGTTGAAACTAAAAAATTCAAATGAAATAATATAAATGCAATCGAGGCATGTCCACTCCACAAACAGGAGAATTTTGAATTTAAAAATATCAAACCACCCTGATAATTTTTCAATTTTCACCTACAGAGTGGAGTCAGCACCAAACAAACCTGAGTTATCCGGAGCTTTCCCGGCACATTATCAGAATGGTAGGGGTGCGTTTTGCCTGGTTTCACTTCAATGCCTGGGACAAGCAAATTCGACAGAAGATACAGACATGCGTGAGTACTGAAAGCAAAACCGAAACACGCACATGCACACACAAAATAAGAAAGATCACCAACAAAAATAAAAAAATCACATCATGCATATTCCCAATTCATTTTTATGCTTTGTGGAAGCGAAATCCATCCAAATACTACAAAGGTACCCGTAGTAAAGTAGCCCATCGAGCAAATAAACAACGGACAAAAACTTCATTACGGTACTCACAGTTACACCATTCAATTTAAGTTATACATTTGGAAACCAAAGAATATGCGGAACCAGAGATTCCAATGCACGAGTAAATGAGATAATAGAGATGAATCGTATTGAGAACATACCCCAAAAACCCATTGATCAGACGGGAGTAATAGTAAAGTTGATTGAAGGTTTTCTCTAAAACCCTAGACGACGACCGCCCTGCTTTCTTAAACCCCTTCTTCAATTTGTCAACGCAAGTTCTGGACTGTCGGATATCAAAACAATTTATTTGTATTTTATAAATTATGACATAAAACTTTGTTCTGTTTTAAATTGTATTCTAAAAATTTATTGGCCTTTTAAATTTTTTTTCTTCGTTTTATGAAAATTAAAATTGTTCTTTTTTTTTTTACAGAATAATCGGATATAAGACCTAAAGAATGTTGAGTCATGACTAAATGGGGGCTTAAAATGATAATTCATATTATACATCATAATTTGATAAGAAGTTCTTTTATTGTAGTTTTTAAAACCCGTCTTCAAATCAATGAAATGTAAACATAACAAATTCAATTGAAAATAAATATATTTTTTCTTATCATCTTTTTACCCTGCAATGAGATTTAACATGGTATGCTTTTTGCAAATTATTTTTTAAAATGGGATTTAAATAGTGAAAATTCTAAAAACAACATCTTTATATTTTCATGTTTTTCGATTTTGAATTTGAAATTCTAAAATGCATAATTACATTAAAAATATACCTATAAAAACTTTGTCAAATATATTATTTCATATTATAAACTCATTTCATTTTTACTAAAATTAAAACAGGTAAAACATAATATATATTATATAATTAAGATAGGTAAAACATAATATATATTATAAATTATATAATATATAAAATAATAATTCTACAAAATTTATAATATATGTTAATAAATTAAATAATATTATTTTATATTGAACTAAATATTTAATCGTAACTACCACCAATTTACAAATATAATACTAAACACCTTAAACAATGGTTTAAACTGAAATTTAATTTTCAAATATGCTACCAAATATATATCCAAAAACACTGAAAACATGAAATACCAACTTTGTTATTTTTATTGAATTTCACCCTTAATCACTTGAACTATACTCAAATTAGCTATTAGCAGACGCGGAAAAAAAATCGAATGTTAGTTATACTTATTTTGAGGCTACACCCTCTTTTGGAACCTACCCGTGAGAAGAAGCCCAATGTCGATACACTCATGCCACCGACAATGTTAAAAAAGAAAAAACTCCGTCCTCCATTGACAGTCACTCAATATCGACTTGTGCCACGCCATAACACATGCATGTGTCATATAATGGCTCACCATTAACATGAGAAGAAATCCAATACAATTACAGAACATTTTGTTAATGTTAAAGGACAGGAAGCCCAAGCAGTAAGAAAATTACAATATTAGAAGCAGCATTTTCCAGCGCAGTGAATATTATATTATTAACCCTTGTCTCTCTATCTATACATGAAACCAAAACAAATATCGACTCTGCAAACCGTTACATTGGCATACACAAATCTCTTCACACACAAAGGGCATTTTCTTCAAACTTGAAGAGAAAGAAGAGATACATACATACGGTACTCGATGGATCACTCAAGTAAATTGGTGTTCACCTCATCCCTCGTGAGCCCTGCCTGGGCGCTCGCGGCCTCCATCATCCCGCTGCGTACTTGGTCACTGATATCTCTAACATGACCCGGGCCGTGAGGTATGAACACAGTTGTGTTCTTTGAGGAATTCCCAAGGTCCTTGATGGTGTCAAAATATTGAGTGATCAAGATCAGATCCATGACTTCTTTAGCTGAGGTACCTTCCACCTTATGAGAGAAGTTTAAGATATTCTCTCTCAGACCATCTGTGATCGCCTGTCTCTGCCTTGCCACACCAACACCACCCAGGTATTTTGCTTCAGCTTCAGCTTCTGCTTTTTTTACTAGGAGCACCTTCTCCGCTTCGCCTTTGTATACACTGGCAAGTTGAAGCCTTTGGGCTGTAGAATAAAATGCAGCACCGTAGAAACTGAAGATCTCATAATAGAGACAGTCAAACAAAATATAAAGGGAATTGAAAACTGAAAATTATATGAATAGTCCATGCAGAAGGAGAACATGCTTCGTTTGCTCCACCCAAATTAATGGACATGGCATGTTGACTGTTTAATGATGGAATGAAGAAAAAACAGTTACACCAAATTACATAATAGAGGAGAGGGAGAGGGACAGAGGGCGGCCCTTCCTATATGATATGACAAGCAAAATTACCAAGAACATTACCTGCATTAATCTCATTCATTGCCCTGCGCACAGAAGCATCCGGTATTATATCTACCATTAAAATGTGCTCAATACTGTATCCATAATCTCCCATCACCTGATACAAAAGGTGAATATATGTTGAAATCTTTGTGTCGGTCGTCTTACGAGGTCCCAACCATTTTCTAATATCTTATAAAATAATAAGCTAATCACGACAAAAATTAAAGAGAGGCATTTAAAAATTTTCCAGACTCCAAATCAACTAAATATTATTGAAACAGATATAACTCGCAATACATAAGAATACTGCATGTTTTAAAAAATGCTGACACTAAGATCCAGATTGTGTCCTCATCCATGGTTCTTTTTTTATATTCCATGCTTGAACGTCTGCTTTCAAATAACCCGACGGAGGCATTTGATTCATGGACTATTTCATATGTGTGTGTTTTTATCTTCAAGAGATGAGTTTTTTAATTTCACATATGTAAATCTATCCTTCTGAAGCACACTTCTCAAGCTACACCGTTAGTTTTACAAATTACAAATCCACCAAGTAAATATAGGGTACACAATCTCATATTTCTATAATTCATTTCTCTATATAGTCTAAACAACCCTTATGAATTGGAGAGAAAAATGGAAAGCAGCTACACACAAAGTTTGGGAGGCGAGGGGGTGTAATCAAGCGTGTAGCAATCAATAAAAAGTCAAGTCACCTTTTCAAGTTCCTCCGATACAGCTTTAGCAACTTCGCCCTTTTGTTCAAAGAGTTCATCCAAAGTCATTCTTGGGACAAGAGCACGAACCACTTGAATCAATAACCAAACGCATTACTAAGTAATACCCAAACCATGAAAATATAAAGAGAATTAGTTATAGAGCTAAATAGCGTCTGTGAGATCAGAGCGTGTACCATCAAACACATAAGCCTGGATCTGTTCTTGGGGGTTTTGCAACTCATAAAATGCATCGTCAGCATTTTCTTTGATGACTCGGTACTGAATTGAACACAGCAATTGCACAAAGACATTATCCTGCAGGAAGAATATCAGAATTCGTGATTATGAACCAGATTATTCAAAGAGGCCACTTCGTTAGCGTTCAGAAACAAATCATCTCCTCTTCTCGAAATTATCATCCAAACCTCCGTTTTCATGTAGGAATTTCATTTTAGCTGTATGGCCTATCTCTTTTCTTTCTTATTTACTCTATTACGTAAACCCCGTTTATAGTACCATGGTATCGATTCCACCGTTAGGTCATCTGAGTACATAAGAGCTAAGCAACAATGCAGAAGTACCAATTAAGAAGTTTAGCCTTAATCCACGCCAAATCGATTAGATACCTTTCTGCGAAACAGAAAATTATCTTGAATCTGGCGAACCGTTTCCTGTAAACTCCAATTCAAGTACGAGAAACTCTAAATTCAGAGTAAATTAGTGCAGACAACTACTTATTATACATAACGAGTAGAAGGGAAGCAGAAGGATCGCAGAATGAATATTCATTAGAGGGGAAAATCCCTGAATTCCGTGGCTATAAAACTTGAAATTACGACCACCGGAAGAAAATTGTGAGAGACGAAGGGAGAAATACCTTGGTCTTAGTCTCAATGCGAACATCGAGGGAAGAGATTCTGGTGGAGAGGATACCGGCGAGGCACTCGCCGGCTAAAGGGTTAAAGAAATGGAGCCCGGGCTGGGCCAACTTTTCAAATCTTCCCCACCTCTCCACCACCCCCACACTCGCTTGCTCCACGCACCCAAACAATAAACAATTTGTGTTCCCCATCGGAATCGGAATCTCTCTCCGGCTTCTCTGTAAAACCTCCGGCGACGACTCCGGCGGACTTGGAAACCCGGTATCTCAGCTGCGCGATTGATTACGACGGTACTTCCGCGTTAGGGAGAGAGAAAATAGTTATTCTATTATTGTATTTTTATTTCAACGCTATTTTTGCAAATCGCCGACTAGGCACATGATCTGACGTGGAATGCTACCACGTCAGAGTTTGGAAAACATGAGGGGGATGTCAAAAAAAAAAAAAAACATGAGTGGCACGTAAGTTCAAAACTCAAAAGTCAATTTTAATTTTAAAGAGTTATTTTAACTATAAATTTAGATACACATAAATATTACACCAATTTTCCTTTCCACCCACAATTTAATCCATAATAAAGGAAATATAAGATAAAGATAGAAAAATAAACACCAAATAAATATATTAGTTTTCCTGAGTTTATACTTCGTATAGTCTTATGCAATGACAAGTTCGTATAGTCTTATGCAATGACAAACTCTACTATGATAGGAATACTACAATGAGTCTTCACTTATCCTATAACACTCTTTGGATATAATATACAATGACAATGCCCTAATTTCATAGCATTACAACAATGACTATTTAGGAATAGAATATGAAAAACCTCATTAATTAGAATCACGAGGATGGATTGTCAATGCTCTACTTACCACGTTTGTTTTTCTCTATTTATCTCTGTAACTGTCGGCAACTCACTCCCTAATTTTACTTTTGCAAAAAAACCTAAAACAAAAGCATACTTTTATAAGGCAGTGTAACGCTACGCCACGACACTATCTCCTAGCATTATGTGTTGAGATTGCAATGAGTGTATACAAAGTCTTACATTGGTTAGAGAATAAAGTGATCCATGGTAACAATTATCTATACGAGGCCCCAAACAAAGTTATAAAGTTTATATTCAAAATGAACAATATCATATTATTGTGATGATATTTGTGGTACTTGAATTACCATTGTCTCAAGTACTTTCCCCCTTATTTTTTGTCTTTATATCGCAACTATCTCTAAAGTTTAATATACTTATTCAACACGTTCAAAAGTTTATGGGGCTCCAGCCCCCAGACGCGACGTAGTTCCATCCATGATGTTGATGATAGGACTTTCTTGTGTGCATCCAGGCAAAAAGTGAGCCCATAAATTTTACTAAGCAATTATATTATAAATTTCAATGGAACGATCCAACTCTTAGACTATATTTGCATTTGGTCATTGTTGTTAATATTATTAATGAAATGTTCGTAGTATTAAAAAAATAATAATGTAACACAGTCTCTAAGATAAATTGTGATTTGAATATAAGTCATTGATATGACAAGACGTATGAATATTTTATCGACAAGAGTAATTAAACCCAGTAAAGTTATTAAAGGTAAAATTTGTTCAGCAGTTGCTTCTGACTAAGAGTTAGCTTCATTTTACTCAGAAAAAAAATAATCATATACAATATTAAATTTATGGATTAAATTTATTTGTTAAATCTTATTAGCACTTGCACAGTTGCATTTCTTTTCACATTATTAAAATAATTGTGGCTTGATATCAAAATATTAATATAAAACTTTCATTTTCTTGACCGTTTCCACCTCCCGCGCTGTCGTGCTGCCGTGCACGTGGGCGTTGAATTACATTTCTTCTTGAACGATTCAGCTTTGAATTATAAACAAACATTTAAATCATTATTGAATTTTCATATTTCATTCAAACAAATCAAAATAATTGATGACGATAATAATATGATGTATAAAATAATTGATTTAATAAGCATTCTAGCGTATCTATAGGAATACTTTTTGGTCGACTATTTTCAAATAAAATGTCTTCGATTAATTGTTTAAAAAAAAAGAGTCTTCGATTAATTTATAATTTACAATTTTTAAATAAAATGCTTATAGTTACTTATTAAAAGTTATCATAATTTGTTTATAATTTATAACTTTCTAATAAAATGTCTTCGGTTAATTGAATATATTGGTTCACACAATTAAATTTATACATATATCTTCATCATGATTTTGCTCATACTAATGAATACATTGTCTTTAGTTAATTACATGTCCAACTTATATTTAATTTGTGTGAGATTATAAGGGTCGAGATTATCTATTACAACTTCCACTTAAGTTTACTTATGGTTAATTATGTGACACTCTTTGTTCAAATTTAAAAAATGTTAAATAATATATATTTCCAAGCTCGTTCAAAAAGTCTCTAGAAGAAGCTACTAGAATAAGTTTCTTTGAAAATTTGAATTCACATTAGAAGCTACTAGAATGCAAGATATGGCAAAATCGAGGTCACAAGATTATCATCTTATTCAAGGACAATATGTGACAAATCTATGGTCACTAGATCATCACTTTATCTAAGGTTAATATGTGACATATGTGCAGCCATAAAATTTACTCGATGAACAAGTATGTTTGAGCCATAAATAGGTGAGTATCCATTTTTGACAACTCATCCTAGAATCACCAACTTTAAGTCAACTAAAGCACAAGCTTTATGAGATAAAATAGATTAGAGAGTTTCTTCTCATAAGAGAGGTTATGTTCTCGAGATAAAATTTGTAATACTTTTATTTTTTGTTGAGTAGAATTATTCTATCTTTACCCATAGTTTTTACAATAATTTGTTTAGGGATTTTTCAGGTTAAACCACTCTGTCCTATTCTTCTCCTCCCACTTCTTCATTACTTCTTTTCAATCTATTTTAGCTGCGATCCTAATCTATGCGGTCCCAATTCATTTTCTTTCTAACAAAAAAAAAAGAATATATATATATATATATATATTTGGAAATGAGAAAGGGAAGTTGTATTATGATTCCATATGTGGTGGCGTTATTAGATACAGATACAGGCATATGTCTTCCTCTCTGACTCAATTCATTATCCAAAGAGAATAAATATATATCTCGAAATCGAAGACCCACAACTTTGTTCATCCTCTTAACCCATGAACTCTCCCATTTCCCGTCACTTTCCAACCCACGCCCCATTTTCTCTTACAAATTCAAGGAATCACATTAAACAACACCACACCATACAGATATTATTGGGAACAAAGAAAAGAAAAGAAGAGTATATATATAAAAACAAAAAGCATGATGATCATATCAGAACAAACTGAAGAAAAATCCAATTGTTGGACTGTTTCTTCTTCCTTTATTCTTTCTCCATGGCCATCTTCCAAGCAAGCACACAGTGGCCACAATAATGGGGGCATCTTGTAATTGAAGAGAGAGAAAAACTCAACAAGGACTGTAAAGTGTTTATTTTATGGGCTTGCTTTGTTTGGGCAATGTCCTTTGTAAGGGTAGCAAATTGATCTGATCTAGATCTATTGCATGCCTTTCATGGGGACACAATAAACAGGAATCATCCTTAATTTCCAATCTGCCACCTCACTCCCTTACCTTTCATTTTCAAAATTTTAGTCGGAGATATACAAAAACAACGATACCGAAAAATATCTCTACAATAGTATAATATTGTTCGCTTTGGACATAATTAATTCTCACAGACTTTATTTTTTATTTCTCCCAAAAAAGGTCTCGAACTTTGTCTGCACAAGTTGCAATTCCAACATTATTTTAGTTGAGAATTATATTTAGATTGACCTCTCTCTTTATATGTATGATAATGATTAACGGGGTTGTCAATGTCACATGCATTGGTAAAATCAATGAATTATTTTGTCTTTTTTCTTTTTCGTTAACAAAGTCGAACGTAGTGATCAACTATATATTAATATATTAATATCAACTCAGGAAGGAAAATGACATAGTAAAAGTTGGATACACAAGTCTAAAAAATCTATAAGTTTCCCATATCCTAGTTTTTAATAATTATAAGTTCCACATGTAAAATCCAATAATGATTGTAACTATTAATTTATTCGAGACTAAAATCTTAAATCTTAAACTATATTCCAAAAACTTATAAAAAAAATCACAAAGTACTACTTATATTTAAAAGTTTAGTTAATATTTCAAAAATATTAAAAGAATAGAAACAAATTACAAGATATATGATCATGAATCAAATCAAAAATATTTTCATTATTATCAAAATGATCCAAGTTACTAGCTATTTGCATGTGATTTGTATCATTTTGGCTGATGCATAATAATGTAACATTATTAACCAATTATATCAATATCTTTTTTAATAAAACCAAATCCAACCATAAATATCAAGCGCCATCGATACGAACATTATTCAATTATCGCGATCTCATGTGCAAATATGTACTAATGTCATGACAGCCCGTACAAAAGAGGACATCAAATCAATAAACATTGCTAGGACAAAGTTTTTGTATTTATTTAACGTTAAAAACTTTTATCCTCAAGGTTTTACCTATTGAAAATATCAATTTGGGTTAGCCCTGCTGCCTCCGCTAACATGGGGTGGGTCTGATTTTGTCCCCAAAAAACATTGACAAAAGAACTTAGTATCACATTTCTAGCATAATACTTTATTTGGGTCTAAATCAAAGTTCCTTTTGTCCCTCAAAAACAAGACATTACAGGTAAATAATCAATTTTTGGGGCATAGTGTTTGTTCAAACTTAAATAATTATCAAGAAATCAATAATTTTCTATTTTGGTCAATAACTTCTCAAAGTTGTTGCAAGGAAACCTCCTAATTAAACAATCGTCAGATTTCCAGGTAAGATCCCACTAGTATGCTATATTAAAATACTGTTTCGTTTAGATTAATTAAGAAGCTTAACCTCTGGTTAATGTGATAGTTTATCTCCTAGTAATTATATACGTTCATGTAATCCCAAAATTTATACGAAATACGAATCCAAGTTACATAATCTAGCATATAGAACTCATGAAACCCCACATTTTATATTCCATAATACTAACTTTTATAAATCACAAATCTAACAAATCGAGTAGTTTTATACATCCAAATAAAAATTGACAATGAGAGAAGTAGTTTCTATATATTTTATAATTTTAATATTATAGTATTTTTCAAAATAATTTTTGAAAAACGACCCCCCTTATTCCCATACAATATATTCCCATAAATTCTGGCGTATATCATCATTTTTTTTTTCTTAATATAACAAGTAGAGCTAGAGATTCGAACTCTTGACTAATTAATCAGAAACGGATATCAATTACTACTGTTCATGTTAGTAAAACTATATCGCATCAATGTACAAAATACATATATATAGCACACGTTGTACAATGGATCTATAATTCAGTAAAAAAAAAGGATGGGGCCACGAAATATTTGGCCAGGAGTTCAAATATATACATATACATCAATTATATAATGATATAATGAGTAAATATTATTAATTTCAACAACTTGGCAGATGGGGTGTGGCCAAACAGTTGCCTTTCAGTACCAATCTTCTTGGATTCCCCATTTCCCCTCCTCTCCTATATAAACAAACTATCCCACAAACACCTCAAAACATCATATATTTCCACATAATAACCCACAAGAAGCAAGCAATATTTTATCCATTTCCCAAAAAAGTTTGAAGTTCTTCGGGAAGACAGATCAGAAAACTCAGGTAGAGAGAGAGAAAGTACACCATGGCTACCTGGTCTGCCGAGAATGCCACAGAAGCCTTCCTCAACACCCTCAAAATGGTAAGTACAAATAAACAAACAAAAACAAACCATCTGATCATCATCTCGCCTGTAACGAAAAAAAGCTTTTTAGTTTAGCAGTGATTTGATAGATCTGGTGTATGTTTTCAGGGCCAGAAAGCGAAAGAACCCGACGTAGCAGAGTTCATTTCAGCGATGGCGGCAGGAAACAACGCGCAGCTAATGGTCGTCGCATACGAAAGATGCACCGACCACAAGATTATTCTTGCCCTGGCGGCCGCCGCAGTGCAGACCGGCGGGCGAGTGGTCTGCATAGTTCCACGGCAAGAAGACCTTCATGTTTCGCAAACGATTCTATCACATGATGGGATCGAGTTCGTGGTGGGAGAAGCCGAGAACCTTATAAAAATTCATTACACAGACGCAGATTTCGTTGTCATCGACTGCAATTTAGAGGGCCACGTGGGCATCCTGGGAGCCGTCAGATCAAGATCCAGGAGGAGGCCGAAGCCGCAAAGCCAAATAGGCGGCGGCGGTGGCGGCACGGTGGTGGTGGGGTTTAACGCGCTGAGCAATAATAATAATGATAACAAGGGATGCGGAGGGTGGTCCGGCGGGACCCACATTCTGCCGATCGGAGAAGGGGTGGTGGTGACGAGAGTCGCGGCGGAGTCTTGGAAAAACGGCGGTGGGATCGTCGGAGGATCTGGAAGTGGGAGGAGGCGGCGGAGCCAGTGGGTTGTGAAGGTGGATAAATGGACTGGGGAAGAACACGTTTTTAGGGTTACAGTTCCACAGGTCAGGAAACTGATCGTTCATGCTTGAGTAGCACTGTGTTTTTGCCTTTAATTTTTGTTCTCCCTTATTATTGGCAAGAATCTATGAATTTTCTCCCTCTCCGTAGCCATGCATGGAGGGGGAGAAATAGTTTTTTTTTTTGGAAGTAATATTATATGCTAGCTAGAAGCTTAATTAGTGTTTAATTTATTGGGAAGTAGAAAAATTATATGTCCTTCAAATGTAAATATAGCAAATAGGATAAATTAAATGAGAATTTTTTCTATATACTTTATTCTTGAGATCTTTTTCTCTTTTTTTTTTTTTGTTGTTGTTAAAGTTGTAGGCCATTAAGTGATTTTTTCTGGTGAGATCATGGGATAGTGGTAAGTGCTGACGTGGTGGGTGATTTGTCACTGTGTTCCTCAACCCAAATAATATAGTCTCGATGATAGGGATTTACTCCAAGCAGGCCACGTGACATAAAATTATTTATCAATTAAATATATTTAAATATAAATTTCTTTAATTATTTAAATTTCACTTTTTATGAGTTTTATTTCAAAATTAATTGATAATTAATTCTTTAAGTCACCGTCATAAAGTTTTGATATCATTTTTTTTATCACATTGGATCAATTGAGCTAGTAACCCAAAAACTTTAATTTAGCTCATGCAAAAAATTCAACACTAATATTTATTTTCCAAGATATATTTACAAACTTACAATTTTTTGGAGCACACTCACAGTTTCGAAAAAATTCACATAATATTTTGATTAGTATATGAAGTCTTAAGGTGAAACAAAAAGCAAAATCACCAAAACTTGTATCCAAAGTGAACTCATTGTAAATATTTTGGAGACTCTGCTGTCTCCGACAAAATTGCTAGTACAAAGTTTTTTTTCCCTCTTGGTATTTATAGTTCTTATAAGTTATTTTTTTTCAACCGTTGTAAACTAACAAACAAGTACATCTAACAATGCAAGGGTGTTTCTACTCGAGAAGACATTGAATGCAATAATATTTCTGGCATGTTAGAGAGAAAGAAAAACTTGCATCCGTGAAGTTGATGTATGAGGGAGATATTTGATCTTTAAAGAAGAAAATTATTGAGTTTTTGAACTAAGGGATGGAAAATCACATTATTGATCTATATATATCGTCCTGCCCGCCAAGTATTTCTACATAATAGAGATATTTACGTTTTTTCCCCCTAGTTTAATTGTCCTAATGGTAGACAATTTCTAAGACCAAAACTAAATTCAGGTTAACTTTAAGATCATAAAAAGTTTCAACTAAGCCTTCCGCTTTTCAAAATATTCACTGTAAAAATCGTTGACGGTTTCACCTGGCAAAAAAACTACCACAGTGTTAAGAATATGATTCAAAATTAACATTTTTGTCCTAACTAATGTTAAGACTACCATACTTTAACAATTATGTCTTAAAGCTACAATACATTTTTGATCCATGAGATTTGAGGCAGGTGTTTACTTGATCCTGAAGTTTTAAAATGAATATTTTTTGTCCTTGAGGTTTGAGGTAAGTCGTCTAATTGGTCCCTAAAGTTTCAAAATGAACACTTTTTGGTCCTTAAGGTTTAAAGTATGTGTCAACTTGGTCCCTAAAGCTTTAAAATGAACACTTTTGGTCCTTGAAGTTTGAGAAATGATTCTAAATGGTCCATGATTTTTTGTATGGTTAATTAACTAATATTATAAAAACGTGGTAAATTGCAATTAAATTGTTTATTGTAGTTGCTAATGTGATAAATTATATTAATTAAATGATATATGTAAGGTATGAATGGCGGACGGCGACGGCAAAGACGTGGTGGTCGCCATAAAATGGTAAGAGAAAGAGATAGGAAAAGATGAGGAGGTGAGAGAGAAAGTACTATCATCTACACATATATTATTTAATTAATATAATTTGTCACATCGACAACTACAATAAACAAGTTAATTGCAATTTGTCACGTTATTTTAATATTAGTTAATTAATAGTAAAAAAAAAGAGGAACCATTTAGAACTATTTCTCGAACTTCAGAGACCAAAAGTGTTCATTTTAAAACTTCAGGGACCAAGTTAACACCTACTTTAAACCTTAAAGGACCAAAAGTGTTCATTTTGAAACAATTAGACACCTACCTCGGACCAAAAGTGTTCATTTTAAAATTTAAGGGACCAATTAGACACCTATCTCAAACCTCAGGACTAATTAGACACCTATCCCAAACCTCATGGACCAAAAATATATTTTGCCCTAATACTAATAAACCATATTTAGAAATTATTCATAATAATATCAATTTTTAAAAAATAATTTTTGTACATAAATAACCTATAATATATATTTTTTAGAGATTGACAAAAATAACCTAGTATCTAAATGTGTAGGACAATATTATAAATTACATTCAATTTTTATTTATTATAATAAATTACATTCAATTGAAATTAGGGCACGTGATAAATTATGAGCAAAAGGGCAATAAAAGTGGACTTACATTGGGCTCACAACATTTGGGCCCGAGTTTGTGGGGCTCCATTTCCAGTGCCGAATTATCAACCCGACCCGCCCACTGCCCATCTCAAAAACCCTAATTGTAAGTATAAGAACCATATAAATCATAGCATCTCCTTCTTTCGGAGAGGTAGCAGCTGTAAGTGCAGAAATCTCCTTTCTCAGCCGCCATCCAAGGTTTTTCTTTCGAATTATGCAATTTTTCTTCTTATCTGCATCTACCAATTGTTTCTCGTATGGGAGAGTTTTGAATACCATAATTCGTGCTTCATTATGATGTGATTTCGGAATGTATATAAGTTTTTGAACTAGGTTATCTATTTTTATCCCCATTTACGACTCTTGTGGTTGAGTTCTTTTTGCCAATGCTGAATACATTGATGCGTTCGTTCGACAGACTCGTTTTGGATTCAGGATAATTGGAAGTATGGCGTACGCAGCGATGAAATCAACTAAGCCAGGCTTAGAAGATACGCAAGAGCAAATCCATAAGATCAGGATTACTCTCTCCTCCAAAAATGTTAAGAACCTGGAGAAAGGTATCATTTTTTCTTTTGGATTTGCTGCATTATAATTGTTGTTCTTTTTTCCTCTGCACTAAAATGAAGGTTGCATCTTCGCATCTATGGTTATTTGATGATTTTCAATTAAAGTGAGTCGGATATTTGGTTAGTAATTTCCTTGCAATGCTTGTTGAGACGCAAATAATTTTCATTTGGAGAGATATTCTTGTTGAATACATGGGATATGGAATCCCGATTATGTATTGAGTGATGAACTTTAGTCCAGCAATTGTCAAAGAACTTGTTAGGATTGGAGTCTTTTTCCCTTGATGTTCTGGTGTTATTAAATTCTTACCTTCTTGTCTTCAAGGTTGCTTAGTTAGCGTAACAAATTACATGTAGCTGAGTTTCTTTAAGTATTCTCATTTAAGGTGCTTTTTGTTTAAATCAATGTAGTTTGCACCGACTTGGTTCGCGGTGCCAAGGACAAGAGGTTGAGGGTCAAGGGACCAGTAAGAATGCCTACCAAGGTTCTTAACATTACAACCAGAAAATCTCCATGTGGTGAAGGTACTTTTCATTCCAGTTAACTATGACTTTCTCTAGTTTCGGCTTGCTTCTTTAGTATCAGTGAAGTATTTTATCTTGGGGTGGGGTTGGATATGGATTGACCATTTTTTTCTTTTGAAAAAATTAACTGAAAGTCAAATATGTCTTTCTAATGTGAGAAATCATTGCTTATGAAGTAATTGTAGTATTATGCCGACAATTTTTTGATCGCTTATTGATTCCTCTTTCATATGAATGATCCAATGCAAACTCGACTTTAGAAGTTTTGAAGTTATTAAATCTTGTGGTTTGTTAGGGATTGCATCATTCTGAAATCATTCATTCATTTGGTTTTTGATTGCAGGTACCAACACATGGGACAGATTTGAGCTTCGTGTCCACAAACGAGTTATCGACCTATTCAGCTCTGCAGACGTGGTGAAGCAGATTACCTCCATCACCATTGAACCTGGTGTGGAGGTTGAGGTCACCATTGCCGATCAATGAATGCCCTATTTTCATGTTTTGCCTGTTTTTAGTCTCATTAGACAGTTGTTACCTTTTTGGTTTGGAACATACCGGTCAGGTCTGTGGGGCTTAAATGCAATAGTTTTTCCCATTATTTGTTGAAATTAACGACATTGAGAGAGTTTTCTGTACTCCTGCCAATTTTCTTGCGTTGGAACTATGTGTTAATTTATTATCTTTGCAGATTTTGTATCTATAGAGATGCCAATTTTCTGCTCTAATTGAGATTTAAAGATGCAGTTCTTTAGATACAAGTTTCATGATTTTTTTTATTGAAAAAACTTGTAAATGACTAAAGAAAGGGGGGCTGGCATTTTGGACTTCGATAAGTTAATAATTAAAAATTCATATATTAATTCTCAGTTTTAAAAAATGGAAGCCGTTTATCTATGATTTAAGATAGGTTTAACTTTCACTTTTTTGAATGGAATATCTTCGGAATCCTAGGATCAAACCTTATGATATTTAATGAGATTTCATTGGGAGTGATTTTGGCACTTGGTCTGATAATTAAATTACTTTGCTAGCCGTATATTTTAAATGACATGTTTGATAATAATTTTCAAGTGATTTTAGAAAAATAAAAAAATCACAATTCCTGATCACTTTGTGTTCCTTTCTATTTTTTCTCTCCCAAATTTTTGTCAAATTATCTCTTTAATCTTCAAAATCAAAACAACCAACCATGTAAAAATCACTTTCCCA